GCTTAAGAATTCACACTGCGTTAATACACAGATAACACGTAGTGTTATACCGTAGAGAATAATAATACAGGCCTGCTAATTTAAACTTCATAAAATTGTTTTAATATTAACAACAGATTTTCCATAATTCAGCTACACAGATTTCAAAAATAATATTCATTTTTTTTCTATCACGTAAGTCTTTTACAAATCGGGAAGATAAAAAAACCTCTTACTTAGATCAAATTATTATTTCGTTTACCACAATGAACATTTTTATTATCATGTGTGTTTCTCGTGGGTTCTAGAATGATCGATAAGACTTTCACGTTGCGATTGGTCTAGAGAAATCTATAGCCAGTGGTTGTCAACATTTTAAGCATAACAAAATGTGACCCGATTTCAATGAAAATGATTCACTTATGTAAAAATACATATGACGTTTTGTGAAAAATCTGTACGTGATAGAGAAAAATGTATATCATTTTCGGATTCAGCGTACAGGAATTAGTGAAGAACATGTAAAAATTTCAAGACAATAAAACCATTGCAGACCTGTGTAATCGCGACAAATAAAAAACAACGGGATCAAGCTATAACAATAAAAGCCATTTTCCCTTGACGAGCCATCTGTTTGTTTAAAATGATTATGGTTTAACAATAACCGGTTCTACCAGATAGAAACACGGAAGGGTCTATAAAGTAGCACACAGAAACAACTTCAGGTTACGAGGAAAAATCATTTCAGGTTTGGAGGATTTTCAAACAAATCTACTAATCTAAAGCAAGATCTTGTATAAGGAAAATTATATATATATATTATTATGTGTTCAGCTAAGCATTGATACAGCTGTTTAATGTATATGATTTGATTTAAATAAAAAATTTATAACAACTTATTATAATCATTATAAATACAGAATGTTTATCCAAATCATGGTAAGTCTTAGGCCTGTTTATCTGTGTCCTATGCTTACTTCAGTTGTAGTATAACAAGAAATGTAATGCATACACATAGCAAGGTTTGTGTGAATTCAGTGGAGTAAGTAAACCTTTTAAGTTTAGTGTCAAGTAACAGTTGATATGTACATCCAGTTGTCACAAGTCACAAACTCGTGCACTTTATGTTGTCTGCCATTTAAATAACTCCGAGATGAATAAATTCAAAGTTTATTCGCATGCACACAAACACACAGTCACGCACATACACACACATATACATATATGTTATTAAATTCAAGAGTGCAAAATAATATTTCAAAACTTTTCTTTCAGTATGACAATGTCAAATAATATTCAGAAAATCTAACGAAATATTTAGATATCCCAATTTCAACAACATATATTAATCAGCTTTGTGACTTCATTTATTCCTTATGGATAGAAATCACACAAAGAAGTGATCATTTGGCCATTGTGTTGAACTCTTAACGTCTTAAAGAGATAAAGTCATATATTTCTTTGATATAGACTACAAAAATGCTATTATAATGTGATAGCGTCTGAACACAAAAAACGATTGAAATTGTTGTAAGGAGAAAGATCATGATCAACGTTTAGGACAAATGAGCATTTAAAGATTATTTGGCCGAAAGGTTGAGCCTGAAGGTTTACAACCGAGTTTCGATACTCGTGGTGGGCAGAGCACAGATAGACAGATAGCCCAAAGTGTAGCTTTTTGCTTAATAGCAAACCTTCTGACCGAATATTTGACCTCTTTTGTTCTCTAATAACAGAGAAAAGAGAATAAAAGCCAGTAAACCATCACAGTTTTAGCTTTGATCTATGAGTATGAGGGCAATACTATCATTAACAGCACAAAACTATTGATATAATTCAACAGCCATGTACTAAAAATAAGTGCCAGATTTTCAACCTGAACCCTCAAAACCAAGAGAAGCATTCTCTTAAGCAGAAGAAATTCGCTGGTATACATATGTGTATTTTTCAATATTTTGTTAGAAACATTAGTAACAATTTCCCATTTACAACCTAAGCCCCACTTATTCCTGGCAATAACAAAATGGACAAATAGAACAACTCGGAATGATCCAGAGAGAAATGACTTCACACACACAACACAAATAAATCTGTGTAAAGGATCTTCCCATTTATGAGTACGGATATTTTGCTGACTGTTTGATGCAATTGTATCAGAAACATTGTATCAACATCAACATTCCTATACAGATAATAAAGCTCTCTTATACTTTTTGAACCTTTATTAATAGCTTCAGTATCTGTTATGAAAAAGGTTATTGCGCTATTACTTAGAGTAAATAAATAAAATTGTTCAAACACCAACTTAAGCTGCATCTCATCAAATATGAGAAAACCAAATATCTTCATTCCAATGTTTGGGTAACCTTAGAGACTAATTTATTTAATAAAATTGTACTGACAGTTTCTTTGAACAAATCACTAACACTGCTATCATCTATAGGTAAAAAGACTGTAAATATTCTAATAACTGTTTAGCTGTGCTCCATTTATTATTATATTTTGAAATACTTGTGTTATAGATTTTTGACTATTAATACATTGATGACAACTAATCTTTGATAGTTCACCATGTATATATGGAAAAATTATACATTGATTACACAAGATGGGAAACAACACTATTTCTTTTGAACATGTCGAAAATGTATTATACATTATTAAGTTTACTTAACATATACCACTTTTCGTGAATGATTCAACCAGTTGACTTCATTGTCAATATTACTTTATTTAATTAATAAGTGTGGAATAAAGAATTACCATTATTCCTCATATAATCATCATAACCAAAACTTAATTAATAAAAAACAAATACACATTTTCAGCTCTTTTCACTTCATAACTATCTTCGTAGGTTGTCTTTGTTTAAAATAATTATCGATGACCTAGTAATCAAAGCTAACAGCAAATGGCAAAGTAACGAAATTACGGTTTTAAAGTTTGTTGTCAAACACAAGTTTCATAATAGGCTCTGTGTGCTACAAGCCTCAGACTTGTCACTGAGACAGGTTCTGATCAAGCATAAATGAGCTAAGTATCGTCACACCAAAGTTCACGTGGTCAGGGTTTTCTCTTTTGTTGAAAAACAAAGAAACTTGCATTCTTCACACCAAAGTTCACGTGCTCAGAGTTTTCTCTTTTGTTAAAAACAAAGAAACTTATATATTTATAGATTTTACTTTTGGATTAGATGTAGTTTCTCTCGTTAGAGTGCTATTTTTAGTGGTATTTTTAAATTTTGAAACGAGTAACAAAGACACACACAAAAAAATGAAAACGTCTGTTTAAGAGATCTTGTAACTATTTCTTAATACGCGTAAAGTTGTTTATCTATTAATGAAACTCAGCTTCGCATAGAGAGCTATAAAAACAGTGAGCAATGATGTGCATAAACAGAATAATTAAATAACAGTTTTTAACAACTTTATTAAAATATAAGAAGTCGTTGCAAAAACTGTTACTTGAATAGATCCAATAAGTTTCAAGGAGTATAAAGTTATCCTTGAAATATGTTACGTCTTGTCAAAAGGTAGTTGAATATTTCGATTACACATTTCCGATAATCCATGACAGTATATATACACCATATCTTTCGATTTGCAACAGAGGCACTGGAATATCCTGTTTTAAACTTGTTTGTTGATGATATTGTGGTCATCTGAAAAAGTATTATAATCCAGAATCACTTCCTTTGATTCCATTAACCTTAGAACCTTTTATTTTCCAGAGTTGCCAAAAGTTTTAGTCAATTGTGTGCGAGTGCATGAAAAACTTTTTCAATAAACTATGTTACGACAGCGGAAGTCACGTGACGGTGGTAACACGTGATGAGTGTCTAGAAGATTCGCGAAGACGCTAGTACAACTAGAGTGTCTCGTATCCTACGCCGCCGCTGATTATCGACGGACTACCTCTCGACTTCTCGCCGCGGGACACAGCTAACTTCATCCGCCACTTTAAACCCCAAGCCCGAGTGTTCCCTGAGCGAACCAGACGTCTACGGAAAGAAGGCTTACTCCTCCAACCTAAGTCACTGGAAAGTTTCAACTACCTTCGCCAACCCTGGTCTTCAAATCCTCCCGTCACGTGCCCAAAAGTAATGCCAGCCTCCATACTATATTTCTCCGGAACGTTCATATGTCCTTCACGCCTGAAGGAATACTCCAAGCCCTGCTAACCACAACAAATTCCACGATCCACGCAGTCCACCGCATCCAGTCTAAGAAAACAGGTTTACCCTCCACATTTATGAAAGTTGTCACAACTTCTAAACATACTGCAGATCTCATCCTCTCCAACGATTGCTTCCTTGACTATCATCATTTCAAGGCTGAAAAACCCTATCGCAAGCCTCACCCACCCCATACCGTTCCTAACCCAGCCCCCATGCCCACGTTTCACAACACCCTGAAGATAACCGCCGCCAACCAGAACCTTACCACCCATCCGATCAAGCTAATCAAACTTCACCCACTCCTAAAACACGAGATATATCCACTCAAACCACCACTACCAGGAGGAAAAAAGGCACCCAGACACAGCCACCACTTACCATCGACGCCTTTCAACAGACCAACAGCACGCCTCCCAGCCACAAGCCACTGTGCGCCCCAGAGCTTTTTGAGGTGCGCTCCGTAGCATTCCTGAAAAATTCATCCAGATATGAAAAGCAAATGTATACTAAGTTACTAAATTATACCATTTCTTTACGAATACTCTGCTTGTTTCGTTGCGACATTATTATGATAGTTATAAGTTACTTTTCTGGCAACTAGCTTCTGGTCCGCAAGTTTTGCACGCGTTTAAAACACGTAACAAACGTGGCTGGAACGGCATGTTAACACCGGCATTAGCTTTCATCACGTGGCAACTGGCAGTGTTGCATAACAGGCGTTGGTGAGTGGGCGTGTCGTGTCTTGTGAACTGCCGTCAAGAGTAAACGTATTGTGCCTTTTACAAGTTTCAGAATAATTACCGTTGATATAATTGTCTTTGTTAAGAATAATTCACCCATAAAAATGGATAAGTTTCTTAAAAAGAAGCGTGACATTGATGAATGTAATCCTGAAAGTGAGCAAACCTCAAATGTGGAAAGTTGTTCTAGTAAGAAAGCAAAACCGCGACCGACTCGTAAATACAATGAGAGTTATTTAAGATTTGGCTTTTCTTGGACCGGAAATGTTGATAATCCGCAGCCAGTATGTTTAGTTTGTGGAATAAAAATGTCAAATGAATCAATGCTTCCTAGTAAACTTGGTAAAGATTTTAAAAGTAAACACTCTCATTTACAAGACAAACCCACAAGTTATTTTAAGAGAATGTCCGGACAGCAAGGAAAAGCAGCTGATTCTTTTAAAAAGTTTAATGACTGTTTCTGATAAAGCTCAAATTGCTTCTTACCAAGTCTCAGAACTGATCGCACAAAATAAGTGACTCACCCAAAGTATGAGCTTTCATATTTTGCCTGCTTGCC